TAGTAGTAGTACTATTGACACTTCATGTAGATTTTATATCATATGTAATAATTCCATATTACAGTCTCTTTTCATATATCCTCATAATTTGTCAACTGTGAAATGAAAACTTAGGATGCTAAGTAAAGTTGTGTATTTTGAATGAAAAGAGAGATTAAATAAAGGAAATTAGAAAGGGCACTTTATGAGTTGGTTGAAATTAATATGCATCAAGTTTTGTTTGGGGGAAAATGACTTGGTTGTGTGTGAACCATTATTTTCCCTCGGTTTTGTTATGAAGCCAAAAGTTGACTCCATAGTTGAGCCAACATTCTATATACAACAAGCAAACTATACCATATTAATAAAATTATATTAGTGTTATTTAAATAATCAGAGAATATGGTAGGTTACTTGTTGTATATAGAAGGTTGTCTCTACTATGGAGTTAGATGTTGGCTTCATAGCAAAACCGATTGTCTTTTTATATATGTAAAGGAAATTAACATTGCCGTTAATTAATGTTCACTTAGCTAATTCACAGCTGCAAAATGAAGATTGATCAATTAATTTATCCTAGATTTACTTCTTTGAAAATTAGTTTTAGATTTTGATCTAATTGCTTTCATTTTACGTCTCGAGGTATACTGACAGACCGAGAAGCTCGAGTAAAAGAAATCGGCGTATAAATTTTTATGTTATATATCATTGTCCTTTTAATATTCAAATGATTTTGCTTCCCCATACATTCATATCTCCTTCGTAAGAAGAAAACAATTATTTTTTTTTTTTTTAAAAAAAATGAGATAAATACATTTTTCTTTGATCTATTTGGGATGAAAAAAATAAAATTAAAAATATTTGTAAAATGAAATAAAATAAAATTTGGCCATTTTATAAATTAGAAGGTTCAAAAAAATTGAAAGGCGGCCCCCATTAGCTTCGCCTTTGCTATTCCCACATCAAAATCAAATTCATTTAATAGTTGTCACAAAAAAATTAAAGCACCCCTTTTATATAGACATACACCTCATTGTGGGTTGATTGTTAGCCCTTGTTGAGAAATATATCATTTTCTTTGTTTGGTCCCCATATAATATTACCCTTTTAGTTAAGACAATTTTTTCTCCACTTAAAGTTGTATTAAAAATGTTTTGCTTGTTTATTATGATTCCTCCTATATAATATTATTTTAAATAAATTTCATATGAATACTACCTATATTTAAAGTTGTCCATATATATTCATTTGTTTTCTTTAGTGGAGTTTCACTTGAGCATCACAATGTTTTTAATTGGGATCAAGAAACCTAAGTAACAAATTGTAACATGATATAAGTTTCATTATTGTTTTAGTTACTTTATAGTCAAAATATAAGAATGAATAATATAAATAAAAAGTGTGAAATAAAAAAATAAATAAAAAGTGACACAATACAGCTTTAAAATAGTTACAACCAAACCAAACCAAACGCATGAAACAATGCACCAATTATACCTAGAGGCATTACCCTTTGATGTGCCTAGAAGAAATGCCCAAAAAGAAAATCCAACCCTCACAAATCAATAAAATTGAATAAAAAGGTGGGGAAATAAGCCAACTTATTCCTGATACAATATCTATAAAGATGGAGATGATGATGATGATAATAATAATAATAATAATAATAATAATAATAATAATAATAATAATAATAATAGAGTAAACTGAATTAAGTTTAAGTACGAGTAGCTCTACTGAGTGTTGAGTCGAGCTTTTTTAGCTCACAAAGGAGTCTTTCTCGACTACATCGATCTTTGGCAGCGACTGAGACAAGAACATCCCTCGGAAGGAAGCTTCCCTTTAGGGTTAGCTTCCGACAGGCTTTACGAGGAAGTCATGGAGGAACGAACGAAGCAAAGTGAAGGAAAGGTTTGAAGATAATCGACCATATAAACGAGGCGAAGCGCAGTGAAGTCCCTAGAGGGCTTGTGAGTCTCAACTGTAAAGGAGAGGAGAGAGGAAATTCTAGACCATACAAACGAAACGAAATGAAGTTCCTGGATAAAAGTAACGATAAATGAAGTAAGAGATTCGAGCTGAGGCAAAGAAGGAATTGATAGAGGTTTGTCAAGAAGTTCCACATCTTCTGGATCGAGTCAATTGCCCTGCTTGTACTTATGGGTTGGTATTCATTATTCTTCATACAAGATTGAAAGGAATGCATTAGAAGTCAACTCGAGCTACTTTGGTCGGTACATAGTCTCCTTGGAAAAACCAAGACCTTTCGCAAGTCTCTCTTTTTTGTTTGGGGGAGCAGAGTAGTGAAAGAAAGAAAGAAAGAAAATGATTGTTCGTCTCTTTCCGATCCTCACAATAGCTCCTTGTGATGTAGCAGAACCATGGCAATTAGGATCTCAAGATGCAACAACACCTACGATGCAAGGAATTGTAGATTTACATCACGATATCTTTTTCTTTTTTATTCTGATTTTTGTTTTCGTATATGACATGTCGACTCGAGCAAGGCACGACAACTCGAGTCGACTATCACAAGAATGGTGGCAACTCGAGAGTCCCGACAAGTAACCTGTGAGGTGATGATTTGGGAGGGGGATTTAACCTTAGGACTTAATACCGGAGGAGTAACTCGAGGGCCTCGAAAGAGATTCGAGAGCGAATAAGCAAGGAAAACTCCGTCAGTAGGATAGTCGACCTCAGACAGTTCGAAGTCGACTTCACTCACCTCGCAGCTCGAGGTCAGGCATATTCTTCATGCAAATCAAGAACGAGCTAAGGATGATTATCCAAGATGGCGATCTCCTAAGGTCGCTCCTTTCCCTCTTTACTGACACTAGTCGACCTCCTGTCTCTCGAGGCCGACCCTACACCTTGCAACTCGAGGTGCAAACCGACTGGTGCCGCGTTCCAATATTCAGTAGGTTTAGCCCACATGGATGAATCTTAAGAGAATAAGATGGAATCTTAAGGTGACTAAGATCTGACTAAGAAGTGATTAGGATATGGTTAAACATCAAAGATCCGGGCAGTCGGGCAGGCTGACCACGAGCATTCGAGCGAGGCACTCCGAGCAGTTATTTCCTCTATAGAAGGGGCTAAGGTACCCTTATATCAAAACTTCTACACTCTCTACACATTAGATAATGCTCTCTCTGCAGTGCTCCACCATCTCTTTGTTTCTGACTTAAGCATCGGAGGCTCTACGCCGGAAATTCCTCCGACGTTTGAGTTCTTGCAGGTGTTCGTGGCAGTTCAGACGGATCGAAGCTCATTATTACCAGTTCGTTCCAGATCTAGGAGATGACCCATCAGGACCAAACGCTCACAAATTGTAAATTAACCATGGTCCAACAATTTTAGGCAGAGACAAATCCCCTACAAGGCAAAAGGTTCATCAACACTAAAAATGTATAAACCAAGGTAAAACTATTGATTTCAACCTCCGACGACTATAGTTCAGTCACCGACGTTAGATCTACACAAAACTATAGTGTTGATAAGACGGTAATAAATCTAATGTTTGCAGTAAATCGACCCAAAAACATAATTCTAAATTCTAAACACTACTGATTTCAACTTGGCGATGCCTACAGTTCAGTCACCACCGTCGGATCTACACACCTATAATGTTGATCAAACGGTAATAAACCCAATGGTTGCAGTAAATTAAACCCAAAACCTAATTATAAATTCCGGAACGCTATTAATTTCAACCTGTCGTGACAGTTCAGTCACCCACCACTATAAAATACACACACCTATAGTGTTGATCAAACGGTAATTAATCCAATGATTGCAGTAAGTCTACCCCTAAAACATAATTACAATTCCAAACCACTATTGATCAACCTACCCGTAACTATAGTTCAATCAAAATTGTTGTATCTACACATACCTACATACAGTGTTGATCCAACGGTAAAAAATTCGATGGTCGCAGTGAATCGACGAGCCGAAAACTTGAAAACATATTCTCCACGCACGTGTAAGTTAAAGTAGAATCATTATAGCAACATCTAAAGGCCTTTTCTCATGTCCAGTCCACGCATGCCCAAATCTTGTGTGTTGCTAATACAAATTTCACATTGATTTGCCCCCCTCATACGCTGCATATGGGCTCCCCATTTGTCCACTCGCTTTCACTTCACTTAGTGAATAAAATAAATGCTTTTGCATTTTCTTTTTGTGAAATTTGCATGAGAATTTACATATATATGGTATACTTGCTTTTACCTTTTATTATCATGTTTCGTGTATGTGTGTTCTATTATTAATGTTGTCATAACGGATGTGTGTATCTCAATTGGACGGTCTCGTGAAAATGACCTTATCAAGCAAAGCTCAAATTTTTCCATTGCTAGTCGAGCTCAACCAGCCCAAATTTGTAAGATCCAGCTCGACATGATAAATATACAAATGCTTGGCATCAGCTCGATATTGGGTCAAATTTTATGATCTCAAAATTCACTGGGAGTTCAGCTCAAATTATATTAGAAAGATCCATGAGATTTTTTCAACTTTGACCCAAAATCAGCTCGAGTTTAGCTCAAACTAAGGGTATTTAGATGGATTACATTTATATTTGAGTGGCTCATTGAGCAAATGAAAATACACTTTATTCGAGCGCAACCAAAGGGATATAGGTACTTAATTTAGCCAGAACAAATGCTCCAGTCACAACTAACTCCATTTGCACAGTACGGTTTTGCTATTGAGCCATTGCATGGAGCAGTTTATCGCTATATCTTTATTCAGTCCCATTCCACCGTAACAGTCGCTAAAATCCAACTAAAACGAGGAGGCTGGAGTATTTTTTTTAAACTAACAATAATCCTTGCGGAAAAAAAGCATTAAATGAGTAACTAACAAGGGTCATTTGAATTTTTTAAAATGCAACATAACAGCTATCCAAGAAAAGTAGTAGGATGATTACTTGTTTTATTTAATCCCGACAGTAAATGTAAAACCACATTGTATTTCAGTTAATGGCGTGAGTGAGTGTTGCATAGTGAAGATGAACCTCAGAAAAGAGGAAGACTTGCCGGAAAACGAACATTCATCCATTGTTTCTCGTACGACACCAGGTGGCTCCATCCAATTTGCTCCAGCAAAGAAAGCTTCAGATCGTAAAATTTCTTCTTGGGAGGTTGGCTATCCTCTTGGATCATGTCATTTAGCACCTGTGAAAAAAAAATAAAAAAATATGATATTAATCACACACCTTTACGTAATAGTTTCCATTTTTTTTTATGTAATGCAAGATTTTCGGCCTAGCTAACTCTTTTAAAAAATAAAAGATAAAAGAATATCAATCGAGTACCTTTAGTGCATTTCCAAGACGCCCTTTACGTTTCTCATGTGTTACAAAGAGAGTCCCATATCGTGATGATTTCACGTCAGCCCATTTTTTGAGTTCCTTAAAGTTCTGCTCGAATAAATCTGGGTGGCCAGTAGAATCTGATGCATCTTTAACTTCCTCCTTATCGACAGCACTCACACCCTGTTACCACAATAATATCATTATAACCATAGAATTTAAGGATGTGCTTGTTTACAAATTAATCGGCTTGGTTACCCAGAAAAATGTGGTATGATTAGTTGTCAGTGGAATTTTAAGTTTATATTAAAACAAAATTTAACATAAAATAATTAAAGTTGATTTGATGAAAAGTATGAGAGAGAGTGAAGTGATAGTGGATGAATAAAGAATTAAAGTTGATGTGATGAGTAAGAATGATTAGTAAGAATTATTTAATTATATGAATAATATTAAAGATAGTGGGGTTGACCGATTGAGTTATTTTAGTACGGATTAAATGTGAGTGAAATATTTCCACTGAAGAAAAAAAAAAAGATTAGTTTATATAAAGCACCAGGTTCTGGGTCATCCGGTGGATACTTTTGGAATAGGCACATTTATTATTATATATAAAAAAATAAAAAATAAAAAAAAATCAGCAAACACTTATGTATAGTTAGTTGTTTACCTTCAATGATTCAATCTCTGCTAAAGCCAATCCTTTCTGATATAAAGCATCAGCCAACTGGTCGCGGGTTTGCTCCATTTTCTTTTTTTTCTACATTGTGAAGTAAATTGTAGTCACAAAGTTGATCCCAGTTAACATTACATACACCAGGATAAAAATCATGAATGACCTATCTATAATCTATCTATAATCTATAATCTATATCTATAACTCCCTTCAAGGATGAGTAGTTTCTTGAAACTTTTGAAGTGCCAAAAATGCCCTTATTAAAGATAAGCTTTAAGGTTATGAATGTAATTTTCTTATTAATGTTAAGAAGTTACAACTAACAATATTTGTTAAATTTTTAAACTTTCATTTCTTAATTTATTTTTATTCATTATCTTTTATTTTTTATATTTAATTATATCTTAAAGTTATTACACATACAAAAAGATTATCTACGCAGATTTGATAGATTTTAAATAAATAATATATTTTAAATTATATTAATTATAATTAGTCTACATATGACGTTAGGTTTCAGTTTGGTTATTTTAAAGGTAGTATTTAAATGTAAGGGAAGATAATATTTTAAATAAAATATTTTTATTTCATAAGTGTAAAATATATAATGCATCAATGAAAATACAATCTATAATTTCCAACTATCATATTGTTACTAGAGATTTTTTGTTACAATATTAAAAAAAATAGAGGAAAAATTTAGTGGATACGCAATGATTGAATGAAAAATAATTTTTCAACATACAAACTGCTAGTTTTTTTGTGAAAAAATATTATTCGTTAACTGAATAATAGATAAATACAAACAAATTACCTACGCGAATATATAGATTTTAAATAATTTATTTTTAATTATATTATTAAGAATTAATCTACATATGACGTTAGGATTCAATTTGGTTATTTAAAAGGTAGTTTTTAAATGTAAGAAAATTTTTTAATTTAAATAAAATATATTTTTATTTCATAAGTGTAAAATATATAATGCACCAATGAAAATATCATTTCTAATTTCCAACCATCATATTATTACTATAGAAACTTTTTGTAATAGTATTAAAAAAACTAAAGAGGAAAAATTTGGTGAATATGCATATGTTTAAAAATGGTTGAATGAAAAATAATTCTTCATCATACAAACTGTCAATTTTTTTGTGGAAAAAACTTATTCTTTAAGTGAAAAATATATAATCTTGAAATATTTTGTTTAAATTATTCACTAAAACAATATGCAAAATACGATTTAAGTTTACTTGTTAATAATAGTATGTATAACAAAATGTTCTTTTATGATGATATGTATTACACAAATTAATATATTATCTATTTTAATTGTAATATAACAGTTAGCATGACAAGAAGGGTACAGGTCAATTGCAGGAATGCTATAAATGGTGGAATCGTGTTGTGCAGGAATAAAAATAGAGTAATTATAAAAATTAAATAAAATAACTAAAACTCTATTTTAAATCTTGAATTTCAAAAAATGTGTACTTATTAAAAAATAGTTACAATTAAATATGCTAAATAAAAGTAAATAGTACATTTACTTTAATTTGTTGTCATTAGCCACTCTTATTTATAAAACTAGCATTAATTTTGTGCACATGCACATGTTACCAAAAATAAATAAATATTATATATAACAATCAAAATTGAAACAAAATTTTACTCAATAGTATTTATAATTGAATTCAATTAAAGACCCTTAATTGAATTTTTATACTTCGATAAAAAAGAATAGAAATGTAAAACCTATATATTAATGACTTATTATATGAATATAATGAATAATCTAATTTTTATATTAATGTTGTATTTATAATAAAATTATTACCAAAGTAAAAAAATATAAAATATAAAATGGACAATATAAATCTTATATACCACATAAATTGATCTTTTTTTAGAGAATTATCGAACAAATGATATACATACTATATTTATATAATAAAATACGTGTACATTTAGATTAGTTCATTGATTATTTTTCACTTATAATTAAGTAATTATATTGGTATTAATATATAAGAAAAATATTTCTTCATTATTAAATATGAATATATTTTTTTTCATTTGCACAAATATATAGAAAAAATAAACCATTTCATCTCAATTAATACACCTAACTAAATTTTTTTATGTATTTTACAACGCTTAAAAAACTAATTTAGAGTAAAAATTGATAAAAGATAACATAAGTTTATAAAC